CGTGCAGTACTGAAAGCAGCGTCTGCCGTCAATCATGTCGGAGCCCGGCGTTTGCTGCGGCTGGTTGCCCGAGAGCCAGTCGGGCTTGAGCGGCGAGCAGCCATCGGCCGCCGAGCACAAGCTGCAGCACTCGCCCAAACTCGGAAAGTGCACAAAGAGCGCCGACGGCTCAAAGAAGAGCTGACACGTGTCCGTCACGCCGGGTTTCGCGCACTTGCAAAAGTTGTTGGCTTGCGGCTAGGCGATACAATAGGTATACTACGCTCTGGACGAGGTTGCTTCTTGTACCGCGTTGTGGTCGGCCCGCCACTGATGTGGGCCGTTGGCCTCGTAGCGATAGTACCATGCGCCAGTGGACGGTGCCGTGGGAAAGCCGCTAAAGACCTAGCACAGCCGTAAGGACAAGATGAGGCATGGACCGAACGCGCCTCGGTAAAGTTGGCTTGGAACGTGGCAGGCCACGCCGGTGGCGCCGACGGCGGCGTGAACTCCTCGTAGCGCGCCGAGATCGTCTCCGCGAGAAGGTGGCCGGTCGTCGGCAGCACGTCCAAGAACGACGCGCCAAACGCAATGGCGTCTACGAGTGCCCCAAGCATGGCTTTTCAGATTGTGCTTGTAGAAAGTGCAAAGTCGGTTTTTTATTTAACGCGTTTGAATGGATTCAACGCCGTCGGTTCAATCAAGGGTTATATACCCTTGGTTCAACCCAACGCGCTCGGTCCACAGCGTCGTCGACCGGCTTCGTTGCATCGCTTCGGGTCGAGTTGAACATGTAGAAGGATGTTTGACGTACTTGTGGGAAGCGCTGGACGGCACGACCTTGCGCTGTACCGTCGACCGCTCACGACGTTGTTTGGCCGATGGCGTGAGGGACGTTTAAACACCGTTTGACCTGGTTGAAGTTCCAACACAACGACGTGCGACAGAAGGACAGCCTCTTCAATGGCACGCAAGGGAGCGCCACCCGCCACAATATTGAAGCTCGACGTCCCTCTCTTCAACGCTCTCCTCCCAAGCAAGCTCCATACACGTGTCGACTTGGTGAAGTATGTATGGTTCACATTGGACACTGCGCTTTTCGTAGCAGTCCTCGCAACTCAACACGAAGTCTCTTTTCCTTCGACTCTTCCACTTCTGGGATGGTCGCTCATCCAAATATCTCTCGTTCGCAGTTGAAAGACCATCTATTATACCTCATCTCTCACGCATCATCATCGTCGTCGTCGTCGGACGAGCCCGAGCTGGACCGGTCCTTGTAGACCGATTTCGCCGGTTTGCGCCGCCGCCGTGCCGGTGCCTCGTCGCTGCTCTCTTGACTGCTGCTGCTGCTGCTGTCGCTCGGCGGTTCGTCGTCATCGTCGTCGTCGTTCTCGCTCGATGCAAAGCTCTCTTCGTCGCTCTCCATCTCGTTCATGTCAAACGAGTCGCGGCGCGGTCGGCGCTTCTTCCCCGCGCCACCTGCCTTGGCTTTGCCCTTGAGGATTGTGCCAATCACGCGGCTCAACGCCCCCTTCATGCGCACCGCTTCGCTATGCACGTACGACCCTGCTTCGTTGTACACGGTGGCATTCGCACACACGAGCATAAAGTCCTCCTAAAACGATCCAAAATGAGCCATCATCGTCGTACGTGCCAAAGACACCGTACGTAGTAGGCGGCAAACGAGCCGTAGAGCGACAGCTTGGCTTGCATCGTGCCAAAGTCCATCGGGTGCGGAATGACGACCGAGTACCCTGGCGCAATGTCGTCCGTGACAGGCGACGCAAAGATGTTGGCCGCGTCTTCGGCCTGGATCGCCCGGTGGAGCACACTTAAATGCGACGCCAACGAGCCTTTCGCGAGACGCTGGAGCCACTGCTGGCGCTGGGCCACCGAGAGCCGCAGCTTTTGCACGACCACGGCGTCGTCCGTACAGCGCCGCTTTGGATTCGGACTCGCGCCGTCGACGCTGCTGGAGCGCTTGGGCGGGCGCTTGGTCTCGAGCGTCTCCGCCTCGTCGTGGGCCCGCGAGAACGCCACGTGGGCGGCTTGCCACGCCGCGACCTCCCGTGGGAACAGCGGCTGCAGAATCGACACCATCGCGGCGACGAGCGCCCGCGCGTTCTGTGCGATCGGACTCGTTTCGACGTTGTACTTTTCACAATTGTCCAGAATCAGCTGCACGTCCGCCAAGAGCGCGTCCACTTGCCGGTAGTAGCCGAGCTCGACGCGGCTTCGGATCAGCGAGAGGTCCATCGGATTCGCCACCGTGACGTAGTAGTCGGGCGTCGACTCGGGCACGGGCGGTACAAAATCGAGCGCGACCGAGAGCTGCATGATCGACGCCAAGGCGCGCAGAAGGCCCGCGCGTCGCTCGCCTTCGATACTCGGTACGGGCGGCGCCAGCGCGAGCTGCGCCAGCCGCGCCTCGGCACTCGCCGGCTCGAGCTCCCACGGACTCACGCGGACCGTGCCATCGTCGTCAAAGAGCACCGTGAGACACTCCCACGGTGAGTCGACGTCGGGGTCGGCCCGATCGCTCGCGAGGACGGTGCCCATGTTGAGCACTGCGTCGATCTGGATGCCGTGGTCGTCGGTCGTGGGTAGTACCGTCTGGACCGCGTCCTGGACGTTCCACGGCGCGCCAAACCCAAGCGCGTACTTGGCGAACAAAACGATAAAGTCGGGGCAGTGGCTCGGCTGCATGTGCACGCGGAACCGCCGGCGCTCTCGTGATGGCGCGTCGTCGAGCTCAAAGTTGTCGTTGACGGGCACGAACACGTTGAACGCGCGTCGGCACGGATCCGCGTCGGTCCCGTCGTCCTCAAAGTACACGGCCGGCAGCGCGACGACCTCAAGATGGAGCTGCATGAGCACGCGTTGGTTGGGCTTGTACGTCTCGACCAAGGGGAAGGTGTACGCGATGTGGACAATCTGGCACTGCACCGCCGCGACTTTGCGCGGGAACTTCATGTACGCGGGCTGTGTCTTGGACGGGTGGAAGCGCAGGTAGAACTCGTGGCCCTGGGGACAGTAGACGACAAGGTCGCCGACCTGGGGCACATACGTCTGCGGCTGCGGCGTCACTTGCTGGCAGTAGAGCCGGTCGTATCTCAAGCCAATGCGCTTGATGTAGCCTTCTTCAAACGCGACTTGAGTGGTGAGCAGCTGCGCCTTCATGGCCCGCAGTGGGTCGTTGCGCACCGTGGTTGACGGCACGTACAAGTGCACGTGGTCGCCGCAGTAGTACGTGTCTTCGTCCTTCCACCCGGTCGCGAGCGCGCAATGAAAGTGCATCGTGACTGTGCACGCGTCATAGTTGCAGCCGAGCGTCGCGCCCTTCTGGTCGCAGAGGTTGCATTTCAGCAGCCGGCCGCGGCGAAGCTCCTTGGCAATGTTGTACCAATGGCCGTCGTCGTCGTAGAATGACTGCGGCGATGTGATCGCGCACGGATCATGGACAAAGACGCGCTGGCTGCCGTTCACAAGCGGGTGCACGCCGAGCGTCTCGCCGGGCAGCGTCATGCCGGCGACGTCGCCGCGGCCGCAAAAGCCGCAGAGGATTTGCGCACCCGGGTCGACGCGCCGCTTGGCCGCGAGCATCTCGGCAAACGTCTTGGTCGTGTCGAAAACATCGCGCTGGCTACCGGGTACTTTGGTCGACTCGACCACCGCTCCTTGCATGCCATCGTCGTCGAGTTCGTCGTCGTCGTCGTGTATCGGCGACACGCGAGCCGGTGACGTCACCGTCATGCGTTGCTCGATCTCGTCGTCCTCACCGCTCGACGGACCGTCCAGAATCTGTGCTTGGTTGCGTTTCCGGAGACGCCGGCGGCGGGGCGCCGGTTCGTCGTCGTCTGCGGACGACCGCCGACGAGAACGCAGCGCGCGACTGCCATCGGCCGTGCGGTAGATACGCGGCGGCGTGTCACTGCCACTACCCGCGTCGCTCTCTTCATCGACGAGATCGCCCATGGCGTCGTCATCGTCATCGTCGTCGTCGTCGTCACCGTTGGCCGTCGCCGGGACTTGAAAGTCTTCGTCACGGTCTTCGTCGGACGACAAGACAACATCGAGCACCGATCGATCGCGGTCGTCCGTGTCGCGGGGCACCCGTCGCACCACGGGCGCGCGCACCTCGGACGCGAGCACCGGGGCGCCATTCACACGGTACGATTGCGTGGTCGCGAGGGCCCCGCGAGCGCCCCGGACGCTCTTGGGTGTGACCGTCTCGATGAGGTTGGGGAACGGTTCGTAGTTGCCATGCGCGTTCTCGTCGCTTCGCACAATGCCTTCCAAGTTGGCTTGATAGAGCTCGAGGTACTGGGCGACCCGCGCGGCCCGGTTCGTCACATAGTCGTCAAGGCGCATCTCGTCGAGCATCAGATGCAGCGGCTGCTGGGCGTAAATCGACCGACTCATGTCCATGAGCGCCGAGCGCGGCAAGAGATGCGGCTGCACTTGCGTGTCACGGTCGCGGACGTTGAGATTCACATCCATCTCGATCGGCGCATAGTCGTTGGCGAAGTACTGATCGCGCGGACTCGCCTTGTAGCTGTCGCCGGCGCCAGTGCCAAAGATGCACAGCCGGCCGACGCGGTCCGTGACGGCAAAGAGGTCGCCGGTCGGGGAGAACGCCATGTCGAGGATCGGGCATGGGTCACCGACGCTGTCCCGATTCTGGTACTGGCGCAAGAGGGTGCCGGCGCTAATGTCCCAGAGACAAATGCGACCGTCGTAGCCGGCCGTGAGAAGTATGCGCCAGTCGATCGGGTGCACTTCCATCGCAAAGACGGCGTTCACGTGCGCGAGCTCCGGATGCCGCAGCGTCATCACCAACGCAAACGTCGTTGGGTCCCAGATCCGGATCGCCTGCTCAATGTGGAGCGAAGTCGCGTCGGCCTTGCGACTGTGCAGCGTCACGAGTCGGTCGCCATGGGCCGTCCACATCATCATGTCGGCCGACCACGACGCGCCTTGCCGCCGCCCGCCCTCGACCGTCTCGGGCGACGACAAGATGTGAATGCCGAGCTTGGGGCGACTCGTCGTCGGCAGTTGCCAGAGCCGCGTCGTGCCGTCTTTGATCGACTGTGTCGCCACGGACTCGCCGTGCTTGCTGAAAAACACATTCGTGATCGGCGACGTGTGGCCCGTCAGCACGAGCGACGGCTCGGTCACGACCGCACTCTCTGCAAAGTGCGGGTTGGCCACCGGTTCGGTCGGCGCCATCGGTGTCGCCGACGACGACGTTGGCGGTGGCACAAACCCGACGGCGGCGACCTCGGACCTCGGGCAACGGTTCGGGGTTGGCGTCGGGAATCGATGCGACGACCGCGTCGATTTGGGCTTGCGTCGAGGCCGACGTCGCTGCCGTCGACGAGAGCACATGCGGCCCGACGTGCCAGAGCCGCATGACGCCGTCTTGGCTCCCGGTTGCAATTTTGGTGCCGCACGGACTCACGTCGAGGCAAAGCACTTTGCACGCGCGTGTGACGCGCGTCGTGTTGGTGGACGGCACGTGGCCAAGCACAAGGAACGGCTTGATGTTGAGGCAGTACGCGTGTTGCTGGAAGAGTCGCTGGACCGTCTCGGTCTTGGTCTCGCGGCGCGGGCCTTGCGTGATGCGCGGGAGGCGGAAGAGAAGGCAGTGGCCGTCGTCTGACGCGGAGACCACCACGTTGAGGTGCGGGTGGAACCGAACCGTGTTGACAACACTAGACAGTGACGTATATAGCTGTACGTACGTAGATCTGAGAGCACGTGCGTACCTTGTGTGCCCGACCAAGACCGCGATGGCGAACCCCGTCGCGATCTCCCAGACCCGAACCGTCTTGTCGTCCGAGGACGTGACGAGGAGGCTGCCGTCGTCGTTGATGTCCATGTCGGTGATGTTGCCCACGTGTCCGTGCAGCGTATACAAGAGGTCGCCGGTGCGCGCCGACCAGATCTTGACGAGCCGGTCGTCCGAGCCCGTGATGATGTACGTTCCCGACTTGTCAAACGTGACGCAGTACACGGAGATTTGCAGGTGGCCGCTGAGCGTCTTGAGAATGCGGTAGCGCGTGTAGGCAAAGATGGGCACCGTCTCGCGGCGTGCTGACGAGGCTGCGAAATGGGCCATGGGCACGGACCGCCCGCTGCGCTCGCGCTGGAGGAGGACCCGCGCATGATTATGACCCAGAAATGGCTTGGTCATGGCCATGCCCCAGTCGCGGACGCGGCACAGAAGCTCGTCGACCTTGCGCTTGTCCTGCACAAGCTGTCGCTGGAGGAACCGCAGCTGCTTGGCGCCGCGCTGCTCCTCTGCAATGTCGGTCCCGGTCGTCGCAAACTTCTCGAGGAGGCGCTCGACGCGCAGAATCTTGCGCTCGTTTTCGCGCATTTGCAGCCAGAGCAGGATCAGCTCCTGGATCGTCGACCGGCGAGCGTCCGGCGTCGACGGCGTGGGTGGCCGTGGCTTCAAGAGCGTCGTCTCGTTCTTGCGCGCGCCGTCACGGAGCAGCTGGACGAGGTGCGTCGGTGGAAGCTGGCGGTGGCGCAGATGCACATCCGTGAAGGTTGCAGGCCGTTCCCGTCCTTGCCAGTCGACCGCCGAGTCGAGGAGGCCCAAGCTGTGCAGCTCGTCTTCGAGCATCGCCGCCGTCCGCGAGCATGGCGTCGCTCGACGCAGAAAGTTTGCAATCAGAAAGTAGATGTCGCCCATGTCGCTTGGTCCCGGCGCATCGCTCTCGTCGTCGCCCATGGTGTCGACGTCGTCGAGCGCCTCCATGGCACTCATCCGCGGCTGCATCGTCTCGACCTGCGCAGGGCTCGGCGCCGCCAGCGCGGTCTCTACGTCGTGCTGGCCCATGTCGACGTCGCGCTGGTCGGCGGCGCGGTCCATCGGTCGCGGTCCTGCGCTGCCATCGTCGTCCCTGCTGTCGTCCATGGCGGCCGATACAAACTCCGAGTTGCTCCGTTGCCCGCCGGTCTTCGTATCCGGAAACATCCGGATATACTCGCATTGGATTGGCTACAATCGCGTCCGGAATTAGCGCGGGAAATGTGCGGCCGAGCGCGCGGCCGCGAACACGACGATAGCAGACAGTATTGACCACAATAAAAGGCTTCAACTGGACTAAATATTGGAATATGAATATATATTTGTGTTGCTCCATAGTAAGGGCGCTACCAAGGAACGCTGAGGAGCCGAGGCCAACGCAGACGTCAAGCCACACGGGCGACAATACAAATTTGAATGCCATCCGAGGAGATCCTTGGAGGGTGCATTGAAGAAGCTGCGACCTGGCTTGAACGTTGCCCTCTTCGATCGTCGTGGCGCAACGTGCTTCGAGGCAGCAAGGTGACAGAGCCCATAGCATTGCCACGCACGCTCTATCCGAGGACGGCGTCAGGGAGGTCTTGCCCCGACAAAAGCTCGACGTGTACAACCTGTACACATAACGACCAGCGACGCGCTATCTCCATATGGTAGTCAAAGACGTCGCCACGCCCCAAGACCGCCCTTTGTAAAGTATTGGTGGCGACGTGCACTGTCCACATTGAAATACAATATGGATTATTCGAGGAGCAGCCCAATGTCGTGGGAGCGACGGCAATGTGCAGGTTGCGCCGACCATGCACGAGTGTACTACGTCGTCGGTCAAGGGTACTTCGTTGGCCGCCCATGGCGTTGGCGACGGGGGTAGGGGAAATTGAGATGCATTTTGGCCAATCAGATGCTGTCATCCAACCGAAGTCACGGTTAGCGGGATGCTCAAACCGGTTACTACGTGCTTTGGCCAGTGTGCACGATCGTTGGCATGCACGGAACTCGCAGCGACGTGTGCATCGACGGAACGCTGCAGGTGACGTCTCCAATTACACGCTGCATTGTGCAGGCCTCTCTTCCTCTGGTTGAGATTGGTTTCTCCAAGGAAACAAATACCCAGGAAATGACGCTCCTTGCCCCAACGTACTTAGTACGTTGACAACAACGCTCAAGTCACTGCGGACGCAATTGGACAGCGCATTGTATGGCTTTACATCTTGGGCAAAGTCGCCAAGTAGCCATCCAGCAGCGGCACAAGCTGCTTTCGGGACATGGCAATGTTGGCCTGGTCAAAGGCGTCGACGGCTGGTTCGCCGAGCGCATCGAGCGGTGTGAGCTGCAACGGCGCACGGTTTAAAAAGGCGACGAGGTCGTCTCGCAGGCGGCGGTCGGGGCAGTACAAGAGCAGCTGGCGCTTTGGCCCGTCCACCGCATGGACCATGGACTGCACGAGGGCAAAGGTGAGGCCGAGGCGCGCGCGGTGGGCTTCCAGCTGCGCCAGCGGGCTCTCTCCCTTGGCCCAAAACGTCGGCAGCGGCACCAAGATGGCGCTCGAGCCATACGAGACACCCGACGATTCGAAGCGCTTGTAGTCGTACGCGAGGCAGTTGGCAAACGTGAAGCGCGACCAGTTGTCCGGGCTAAACTTCTCTTCGACGAGCCACACATAGAGGTCGTGTCGGGGCACGAGCGAGAGTGCATCGAGCTTGTCCAAGACGGCTTGGTCCCGCGCCGTGCCCTTCTTGGCAGCCGCGTCCATGTTCATCGTGTCGAGGGCAATGACGCCCAGAAGCAGCGTCGCTTCGAGCGGCTCCAGCGAGAGGCTCTACGCACACGTAATGAGATTCGATCCAAGTACATGCTTGGTCGTACGCGCTCGGCAACAAGCGTGCAGGCCGACCCGACCAACGCGCGGCCGCCCGCGTCCGTGCGCTCGAACGCAATGTCACGAGACGAGCCTGTCACATGTCCATGCGCACCGAGGTCATCGTGATGGTCCATGATCGCCACCTGCCATCATCATCACCACCTGTGAGTCGCGTAACACAAACGATATGGGGCGTACCACGGAGGCATCCAGCGGCGCGAGCGCGGCCTTGAGCTTGTTGTGGTCCGTCAAGACGAGGCGCAGCTTCTGCGCCGCATGGAGGCCGGCGAGATCGATCTCGTCTTGGAAGAGGAGCGCGTCCACGTCAATGTGGGCGGCGCGGAAGAGCGCGCTCACTTCGCAGCGCAGCGCAAACTGGTCGCGGTCGACGCTCATGACGGGCACCGCCGAGGCCGTGAAGGCATGCACCAAGCTGCTCACCATCGAGTCAGCGTCGCAGGCCTCGTTGCCCATGACGACCTGCACGGAGGCAGAGGTCGCGACCGCCTGGCGCGCCTGGCGAAGGAACGCATTGAGTTTCTCGGCGTGGGCCGGCGCAAAGGCCGCTTGGATCGCTGCCGTCCGACTCATTTCACTGCAAGACTCGATATGGGTTATAGATGCGCTCTCAGAGGTTTTGCATCAGGTGCCTCAAATACCACCAATAAAACGCCACATTTATCGCCCCTAGTAGTGGCGTAGCGGTCCGGGCGCAACGCAGCGACGCCGTCGGGCTGCATAAAGGGCCCAAGCAAAATTTCCGCAGACGACCCACACACGGCGTATTCATCACCCTCTGGGAATGCGGAACCTACCGCCTTCAAGCGATCGAATCGAGAGAGTTGTCGCAGGCCAGGAAAGAGTGGCTTTGACGCAGCGACAGCCGTCACCCAAGCCACGGCATACCAAGCGGCCGATCAACCTGGCCTTGCTGCCGTAGCTCGCTGCGGTGATAGGAGGTCGTCGCCCTTGGCTTTGCGTCGGTTTCTGCGTCCAAGATGATCGTGTACCGGTATAATTACAGCGATAGGGGCACGCCTCGTAGCTCAGCCAGAGATTCGCCCAAGTACATAGATTGGTGAAGTACACATCCCAAAGGCACGGCCGATGGACGGATCTGAAGCAGCCTGTGCACTAAACTACGGTACCTCGAGCGCCTTGTACGGTACGCGAGCGATAGATTCATTGACATGGAGTATGTATGGCTCGTCGCTCGAAGGCGCAACTGACTTGGCTGCTGCGCGGCGCCCTATCATCTCCCTCGGTACAAAATGTGATACAGTGTATCTGTGCCCTATCACTTTTGGCCGTTTCTCTTCACTGGTCCAAAGCCCCTCCCAATGGGGCACTTGAAGTATGTATACCAAGATCGTCACCGGCAGCTGATATAAACTTCGATGGGTGGCCTTGGCGTTTGTATGTACGCGATCGAAGGCGTGCCTTCGAAGTTCGAGAATGGTGCAAGGCCATTGGTCCAAACCCCTCGCCCAAGATTTTCACGGTACGAACGCACGATGGCCGTCGTCGGTCACTTTCCTTTCGTCACGATGGCCCGCGAAGAGTACATTCCGCTGACCAAGCCTGAGAACGCCGGCCTCCGCCGCGCCGAGGCCAAGTGGTACAACCGTGTCAACAAGGTCGCGGTCGCGGCGGTCGCGGCCTCGGCGCTCCTCCTCACGGCTGGCTTCTCGGGCTCCGTGACGTCGTCGACGACGGCGATGACGCCGCTCGACGGTGCGTCGTTCTGCGACGTTACCGGCCAGGCGTCCGGCTACATCAACCTCCCGCACAAGAAGGACGGCAACTACTTCTACTGGTTCTTCGAGTCGCGCGCAGACCCGGCGAACGACCCGCTCGTGCTCTGGCTCACTGGCGGCCCCGGCGGCTCGAGCATGATGGCGCTCCTCACTGAGAACGGCCCGTGCTCCGTCTCGGCCGACGGCACGCACACGGTGCATAACCCGCACTCGTGGACCAACAACGCCAACGTCATCTGGGTCGACCAGCCGATCGGGACAGGCTTCTCGTACGGCGCCAAGGGCGACTACGACCACAACGAGTTTGACGTGGCGCAAAACATGCACGCGTTCCTCAACGGCTGGCGCGATGCCCACCCCAAGTTTGCCAACCACAAGCTCTTCATCGCTGGCGAGTCGTATGCGGGGCACTACATCCCCGCGATCGCCGCGCACATCCTCGACACGGCCAACGACGACGACGGCTACAAGCCCATCGAGCTCTCGGGTGTCGCGATCGGCAACGGCCTCACCAACCCGACGGTCCAGCTCGCGCACCACGCCGACATGCTCCAGGACAACGCGTACGGCAAGAAGCTCATGAACGACCACGACTTTGCCGCGTACAAGCTCGCGGTCAAGAAGGTCACCGACCTGGCGCACAAGTGCAATGCGGAGAACGACAACCTCGCGTGCACGGAAGCCACTGCGCGCTGGATGACGGACGTCTCGCACCCGATCATGTCGGTCGCCAACGTCGACCCGTACGATCTCCGCAAGGAAAACATCGCCGTCCTTAAGAAGGAGGTCGATGGCACGCACGCGCCGCTCTCGCCCGACATGGTCGCCAACTTTGGCTCGCCGGCCGTCCACGCCTTCCTCAACAACAAGCTCGTCCAGGAGAAGCTCAACGTGCACACGGACCGCGTCCACGGCTGGAATGAAATCGCGCAGCATGTCTTCCGCAACTTTATGGGCGACTTCTCCAAGACCTTTGACGGCATGGTGGCCAACATCCTCGACGCCAACGTCCCGGTCCTCATCTACGCCGGCGACGCCGACTTGGTCTGCAACTGGAAGGGCAACTACGCCTGGACGACCGGTCTCGAGTGGAGCGGTCAGAAGGCGTTCAACGCTGCCAAGACCACCGACCTTGTCGTCGACGGCGTCGCCGCCGGCACGGTGCAGTCGGCCGACAAGCTCACGTTTGCCCGCATCTACAACGCCGGCCACATGGTCCCGGCCGACCAGCCCAAGGTCGCTCTTGAGATGATCAACCGCTTCCTTGCCGGCAAGCCGTTGGCGTAAGCTTATGTGTGTTGACTCTTTCCTAATCGAATGCCGGTCCTCGGTCTTCTCGTCCGTTGATCGATGTTTATATACGGTGTGTGTTTCTCAAATGCCTCGTCGTCCATTGCTCAAGTCGCTCGAGTGGTGGAGGCGTCGTCAAGCATTCAAAGGGGTGATCTGAAGCGTCTGATTTCCAATGTTGTACGTACTTGAAGGCGAAATCAGATCGAAGCCATCGACGGGACATGGGCACTTGTTGGCCGGCAGCAAGGGTACATCATAGTACAACTATTCTACACCCTTGGTACCTCGCCAGACCCAGCCAAGGACCACAAGTATGTACCATAAGTATGTACCATTATAACGCCAATAATACGGAGGATCTGTACGTAGTCCAAACACTTGGAGCTGTACTGGAGCATTATGGACCAAGTTGGTCTGCATGGACATAGCGCAGTGGACTTTCTGTCACAATTCGTGTTATTAGGGCTAGGGTTTAGCTGCACGGACACGACTCGGTTGCCGACGCACCTGAAATAGGAAATAGAAAAAGGCGCCAACGGTTATCCGACGACGGGATGCGCATCGCTGCCGCCGAGCCCGAGCCCGACGGCGAGAATGCATCGACTGTCGTCCACGTGCTCCACTCGGCGAGAGCGCTCGCGGGCGCAGCGACCCGCATTCAAGCGTGGTATCAACTCTTCCGGCGACGAACCTCGTTTGCGGTCGTGCGGGAAAAGTACCTCCAACTGCTCGCAACGATCGGAGACGACCATGTCGGCGTCCTGCGCAAGTGGTATTGCATCTACCTGCAGTGCCGCCGGCCGCAAGCACGGCGCGCATCGACTGCCCACGCAGCGTCCTGGGAGGTCGTGTCGGTCGCGACGATGCGCCGCACGCTGCAGCCGCTACCGCCCAACGCGTATGCATTATGTCTCCCTCCATCTCGTTTGACGCTCGGCGTAGGTCCGAAGAGGTCCTCTATGCGTTCTTGGAGGCGCTACCGTCACGATGGCTGGTCGTTGACTGGACGCACCTCGACGACATGGCCAGACACGGCGGGGAGGAGGAGGACGACGACGACAACGACGACGACGAGATGCGGCCGCAGGACACGCTGCTCCACATCGTGGTGCGGCGGTGCAGCAACGTATCGCGTGCCTGCTTGGATCTCTTCCAGCACAACGATAGCACGAGTCTTCAGCACTTGGTACTGATGCATGGATGGACACGTTATCATGTGCTTGCGTAGGGTGCGCACGACCAAAGCATCGTACATGCCGCCGCCGAAGGCGGGCATCTGCGGACGCTGCAGGCCCTTCTCGTGGCCGGCGGCGACATGCGCGCGACCGACATCGTGGGCGCGACGCCGCTCCACCTCGCTGCTGCCAACGGGCACGTGGCCATTGTGCAGTACCTCGCCGAGATGATGCACATGCCTTTGGACGTCACGACCCAGAGCGGCGAGACCCCGTTGCATTTCGCAGCCACGCACAACCACACGTCGGTCGTCGGCTACCTACTGTCGCAAAAGTGCAATCTGAACGCTGTGACGACGACGCAGTTTTGCTCGTCGCTGCATTACGCCGCTGCGCGGGGCCACCTCGACGTCGTCAAGCAGCTCGTCATGGCGCATGCAGACGTTCTGCCCAACGCCGTGGGCAACACGATCCTGCACGTCGCCGCGGAAACGAACGACACGGCCATTTTAGCCTACTTGAGCTCGCTGCCGGCCATGGTACACTTTGCGACAGCCGCCAACAACCGAGGGTACTCGCCACTGCACGTCGCCGCCGTGCATGGCGCCAAGGACGCCTACGTGCTGCTGAATCGCAACCCGTGGCGCAGCAAGCCGCCACTGGGCCTCATCACCGTACGCAGGTGTGCGGATGGATGTCATAGATAATGGTTTCTAGGACTACGAAGGGCTCTTCCCGTTTGCGCTCTTGGTGCAATCCGACGGCATCACGACAGAAGATGCTGTTGGACTCTACCTGCCACGTCACGCAGGCTCGGACGACGTGCCCATGTGGCATGCATGCGTCTTCCAGCAAGTGCTGCACACCGCACCCGACTTTGCGTGGGCCGTCTTGGATGCCTACGCTATCGCGGCGACCAACCACGTGGGCGCTCCGGCGCTCACCATGCCCAAGGTAGGCTGTAGCAACTCGGCCGTGGTTATCCACATTGCTTCATTGTTCTATCTTCCATCTTGATGACGGTGCGAGTAGTTGGACGAGATGTACGGCGCCGATATCGAGTCGTCTCTTCTCGGTATGGTTCTCGACTGCGTCGATGACGCATCCAAGAGCCATCGGTCCGTGCTGCTGCGGCTATTGCAACACCCGATTCCATCGCGCATTTTGCGCGTCAAGTGGAAGTCGTTTGGTCGACGCATCTACTACATGCAGCTCTTTGGCGCAGCCTTGTTGCTGGCGACGCTAACGATTGGCATCGCGATGGCCCGGCCCGCGCCCCGAACCCCCACGACGTCGGCCAACGCGACGCAGCCGGCCGCGACGTTTTACTTGTCGTTGTTTCTCTGGATCGATTTCGTGCTCGTGTCGATCGCCGGGATGCTCATCAGCTACGCGTACGAGCGCGTGCTGCAGTACGTGCGCCACGGCGTGATTCGGTTCCTGCGCGTGACCAAGGCGGCGGTGACCTCGCCCCGCTTCTTTGCCACGTCGCGGCACTTGGAAACAAAAGGACCCAAGAAAGGCGGGTACGTCCGCCGCCGGCTCAAGGAGCTGCTGCTGCGGCACTGCGTTTCGCCCACGACGCCGTCGACCGCGCTTGTCAACAACGTACTCGCGATTGGCTTGCTTACGGTCACGACGAGCATCGCTGGATGGCTCACGCTCTGCGTGCTCTTTGGCCTCGGCAGCGCCACGGACGCGTCGCCGCGCACGACTTTTCTGTCTCTCAACCTCGCTGTTCAGTGGCTAGCAACGCTGTACATGCTGGCGTGGGAAGCCCTCGAGTGGTACGGCGCGCCACGTCGGTACGCGACCTCGATCTGGAACTTTGTCCAGGTCGTTGTGTTCTGCACCTTGTTGCTGCTGCCGTTGAGTGCCGCCTCGGACGAGACGCATGGCACGCTGCTCGCGCCGCTGGTTTTGCTCTCGTACCTGAACTTCCTCGAGCTCCTTCGCTTTCATGACTGGACGGGCCCCATGATCTCGATGGTCCACTACATGCTGCGGGACGTGCGCAATTTCCTGGTCTTGTACGCGGTGTTCCAAATGGGCTTGACGTGTGCGTACTATGCCTTGCTGCAAGGCCAACTCGGCTTCGCAACCTTCTCCGAGGCGTTCGTGTCGACGTACCTCATCATGTTTGGGCTCGGGAACGCCGATGTGATGCTACGCTCAGCGCCCTATCCCCAGCAGTATGTGCTCACGGTGTGCTTCATGCTCCATTTTCTTGTGGTGGTCATTGTGCTACTCAACGCACTCATTGCGACCATGACCAAATCCACGGACGCCATCTTGGATCAGGTCCAGGACCAAGTCGCTTGCAACCGCGCCCGCACGATTCTTCGCGCCGAAGTCACGGTGCCCCATCGCATTCGCACGTCGCTCTGGAACCGACTGAAAGCGCGCGTGACGAAGCGCGGCGACTCGTACTTGTTCAAGCCAACGACCGTGCCCAAAACCGCGGTCGAAGCGACCGAAGACCCAGGCAACAAGGACGACAGCGCGGCCATGCAAGCGCTGGAAACCCGCCTCGTGCAATGCGTCGACACGATCGAGAGCCTCCGACGCGCGCAAGAGGACATGGAAGCTCGCCTTCTCGCCGAGTCGGCCAAGACCCAAGACGCCCTCGCTGCGCTCACAGCGCTCCTTGCCCAACCACGTGCTCGAAAACTCAAGCTCACGGATGTCGAAGCGCGGTAGAGACGCGTAGCTCGGTCAAAGCTCCTCCGCCGAGTCTCGGAACAATGGTGAATAGACCGGTGGTGTTCGAAGAGCGAATACACAAAACGAGGACCACGGCAGTACCGACTACGTACGATTTGGCGATGCATCGCGTGCTGTCATCGGAAGCAAGGGTACATGTTTATATAATACCCTTGGCGGAAGCGCTTTTGGAGTTGGAAGAGCGCTGGACTGCCCATGGTGGCGAGTCTTGTTACTTTCTTAAATACGGTACAAAGACGAGGGCTGTGACGGCCGAGACGCCAAAGCTCAGTGCGGCCATGGGCTTTTTTTCGACTCGACCAAAATCTAGGCAACATCAATTGGGGTCGACGACGACTTGCTACCATCGTCGACGTGATCGCGGTCGAGAAGCACGAGAGCGAGCCGCAGAACGACGAGACAAACTTGGCGACGACGACGTTCTGAACCGCGCTCGGTACAAAGTAGCTCGTACCGTACGCCAGCACGAGGAAGAGGACACTGGCGAGGTTGCAGCGCCACGCACCCCAGTCGACAAGGCCGTCGTACCTGCCATGGCCCACGTACATGGACGCGAAGATGCCCAGGCACGACATGAGCATACCGACCACGAGCTCGAGCGTCTCGTTGACTTGAAAACTTCCAAGAAAATGCGCGTCTTTCGGATCGCTACGGCGAGGTAAACCCAACGAGGAGGCAGCATGTAGTACCGAACAAAGCCGCTAGGGCCGAGGACGGCGACGACGAGCACGATGCCGATGAAGAGCGAGAGGCTGTTCCAGAGGTACTGCACCGGCGGGAGATGGCGCGGAAACTTGCGCGCATGGATGCAATAGTGCATGAGCCGCTGCCCGACAAGGAATGCGATGGATGCATAGCACATGGTTGAGATGATGTAAAGCGGGCCGAGGAACGCACTGCGCGCGACGAGGTCGCCGGCGTGGTCGACCATGTAGCAGTAGGATGTGAAGACCCTAATGCGAAGCTACGTGAATCGCGCGCACGGACGAGCCATACCCGAGGAAGACGGTGCGAAAGTAGCGGCAAGCGCGCTTCCACTCGTCTTGCGCCGTCGCGTTCTGGAGCGTGTACGCACAGCCTTCGAGGAAGGGTCCAACGATGTTGAGGAGCGTCGCGCTGACGTTGATGCCCGTCGTCTCGTGGGCCCACACTGGGACGAAGCACGTTGTCACGCACTCTGCGGTGCACGCAAAGAGCACCGAATGGCGAACGTGCCGCCAGAGCTTAGTCGCCCACTCCTTGTCCTTGGCCTCGGTCGAGAGGTAGACGACGGGCAGCATGGCCGACGCCATCGCCGGTCGTAGCGGTCCGTCCTCGCTGGCGCTGCCAGCCTCGACCTCGAGCCCGTCGCCGACCTTGCGCCGGTTTTGCTGCATCCGTTGCACTGTGTTGTCGCGGGCGCATGCGATTGGTCCAAATTCCGATTAGGTTCAACAAGGACATTAGGGGGTTTCAAAGCTGTTTTTTGAATCGCCGGCCGGCTCTGGCCGAAACTTTTACGCATTCTGATTGGCCAAAAATGTTTTGGGTGGGCGGACTTTCGGGTAGCCGACCGACGCCTCGCCAGCCACGAAAATCGTGGCTGGAAAGAGGCGCCGGCCGACGTTGGTTGGTCCATACGATTTCACAGGTTTTTTCTGCCATCATGTGATTCTGCAACTGTCGCCATCATGACGCTCTGGAACAAGGACATTTGCGCAAAGCCTTCGTGTCGTTGCGGCAAGTCCTCTGCAGAGCTGCTCATCGACTACCTCAACTACCAAACCACGGACGGCTACGTCAACTACAAGCGATGGAAAGGCGGCAGCAAGAAGAGGGATGGTAAATCCAAGATCACGATCGCGGGGGAGGTCCATGATCAAGGAGCATTGGATATGACAGTTCAAGCTTTGAAACCCCTCAAACAACTCGGTGTCCGACCGACGATCCAGTCGATTTTGATTGGCTATAATTCGGCCTGACTTGTCGCACCAGCCATTGGACCCGACGATTTCGATTTCAGCTTTGAGACCCCCTATTGCCGAATTAGATTGCTACCAGTTCCGGGCGTTGCGTGGCAGAGTTCTGGCAGCTCTCATGGCCCATGAGAGCTGCCTGGCGACGTCCCCGTCTCAGAAAATGAGAGTATGGTAGCGCGGCAGTGATAGCGCGGTAGAGAACCAGAGACGCTAACAACACTGACGCCAAGTCCGCCAAAATAAATGTCCATCAGCATCTTGAACATCGGTCGAGTTGCCCATGCCTGGGCTGGGCATTTCACATCAATGAAGCAAAGATGCTGCAGTAAAGGAACGTACAAATGCAAGCCTTGGACGAGGTAAACGCAACGCAACGGGAACCAGCATGATGCAGCACGCGATCCATGTATTATCGTCAATGGCGATGCATTGGATCGCGAAAACAGAACCCTAGCCCACCCCTAGTCCACCCCGTGGGCTCGCGAACGACACCCTGCGAACGACCAAAGGCATCAAGACCCGAACACGGTATATATACGACACTTAGCTTCGCAAAATTTTATTGAACATACTAGTTGTAGCAGCCTGTCTCGGCAAGACGAGCGGGGCCACGCAAGAAGTTCTTGGAAGGTTACAATCAGATAATTTCGGAATCTCTGACGGCAGGTTGAAGCGAGCGTGGTGGCTCACGGCAATTGTCGCTCGCCACGGACCCATGCAACCAGGTCCAAAGGCTCTCGCGGCCTCTTGACCGCGCACGATATCAAGCACGCCCGGTACGGCGGCAGATCCGAGAGGAGAGCTTTGCAGACCCGCTGGTCGTCCTTTTGGCCGATGGTTCCTCTGGCGTCAATCAATGTCGTCGTCGTGAGCTCCACGTACGTCCACGCATGCAAGAGAGCAGCAACGCCGTTTGCACCCAGCGGGTTGTTGCCAATGCGCCATTTGGCCAGTCGTGGGAGATGCGCGAGGAGGCTGCTCAGCGCCGTGGCACCAGCAACCTCGATGGCGTTGCAGCCAAGGTCCAGCGTACGCAGATGCTTTGCGTGCATGAGTGCGGTCGAGAGCGCGGACGCACCGACGTCACCAAAGCCTTGGTCGGCCAGCGCGAGCGTCTCCAGGTGCAGTGTATGTCGAAGGAACGGAGCGAGGGCAAGCACGCCGGCGTCGCCCATCTTGCTGGACGTAAGATCGAGATGCGTCAAGCGCGGCACGAAAGGCGCGAGCGTGAGGCAGTGGATCGTCGAGAGGCGAAGGTTGGTCAAGCGCAGCGTCAAAAGCTGGTGCAGTTGCGGCAGGTCGACGTCGAGAAAGTGCTGCGTCGAGTGCATGTCCCTGTGGGTTGCCGTATAGGGAAGAGAGAGGTGGAGCGACTGCAGCGGGCTCTTGATAAACAGGCCGGTGACGCTCTGCATCGGCGACGCGCCCGAGAGACAGAGGTCGAGGTGCGTCAGGTGGCGTGACGTGGTGCCACCGCCGTTTTCGAGTAGAAAGTCTGTGTTGGGCAGCGCCAGAGATACAAGTGTGGGCTTTGACCAAAAGCGGTGTCGTGACGAGAGCTCGCCAAAGTTGTCCATTTTCAGATACGTGAGCGGTGTCGCCTCGATCCAAGCGGCAAGCGCCTCGGCTGCAGCGTCCGGAAAGCGCACCTTGTGAGTCGCGCGCAGCGAGAGCTTCGTCACGCCTTGCATTGACACGAGAAGGTCACCAGCGCTGTGAGAGCGTTGCTCTGTGACGTGGAGGTGAAGCGCCGCGCTGCAAAGTGTATGTCGATGGATCGGAGCGACGCCGCATTGGCCGAGAGCACTTGCTGCAAGGTCGATACCACACGCGGTAGGATGGTGTACTTCACCGTGAGGGAGATGCGGTCAAGCGTCGGCCACGTGGGTGTTGGCGTGACGACCACTGGCACGCGGCGCAGTGTGTACGTGTCGGTGACACGTAGGCGCGGGTTCACGGGGAGTAGCTGGGCGAGCACATCGTTGGCATTTTCAAGCTGCGTGAGAACGGTAATGTTGAGCGAGGGCCAAAAGACTTGAAGGCCAAAAGCTTTCGAAAGCGTCGCGAGGAGCTGCAGCCCTGGTGTGCGCAGCTGCTCGGGCAGCGCTGTGAGGAACGCCGACATGCCGTCGTAAGGCAAGTACGTCGCGATGGCTTCGAGGAGATCAGGCGATAGCAGCATGGCTCCAGGCGCAAGGCGGCGCCGGTGCACGTCCAGTGCAGCACCAGGCAGCTCCGTCGTCATGGTCAGGATGTGGGCACCTCAGAGCAACCGGATATACATCTGGAAGCCGGCGAGCGCAACCGGTATTCCGGTTACACAGCCCGCGTGGCTTTGCGCGGCGATGGTGCAACACTGGACAAGTCGGCGAGCCGCTGGGCCAAGCCGCGCACCTCAGAGCTCTAGCCGAGTACCAAAGCCTTGGCCCGTACTCTGATCAAGGGATAATGGCATCAAGCCGCATGCAGTGTCATCGATCGCGTTGGCCTAGGTTGTCATCCTGCTCCATCGCCTGTAACCACACTGAATTCCTTCGTATTTCGTTCATACGGCGTCGGCTGCGACTAGGGGCTGGCGTCCGATGCCATTGTCGTCGTCGTCGTCAAAGCAGACGTCTTGTCTGCGGCCGCACGTTTCGTGGGATCATAGTCGGTCGCAAGGACTGCGGTCCATGCCGACGCCAGCGTCCGCGCGCTAAACGTGAATTTTTCCGTCACCTGCTTGAGCGCGACGACCACTGTCTTGCCAACCTTGTCGTCGCGGTCGCACTGCATGTTGAACGACACAATGATCGACTTGTCGTTCGCGCGCAATCGGTTCTGGAGGTACAGGCCCGCGCAGCTGTAGCTAAACTTGCTCGCATCCGCTGTCAAGAAGACGTACACGCGGTACATAGCGCCCGTGGATGCCACCGACACGAAGGTTTCGGTCATCGTCGTCTCGGGGCGGCTCGTATCCTCAATGTGCTTGAGGTACGCGAGGGTGTCCATGGCAATCTGGGAATGGACCGACGCAAGTGACTCGGGCATCACCAGCATTCCGGCAAGAGTGGTGGTATGCTCTTTTATCCGGATCCGCATACCATACATATGGCAATCGAACGTATCCATTTCAATCCGGCGACAGTAAGCATGGCGGCGACAGGTGCGCTGACGGCGATTGTGGCGCCGATGGCCGTCGACGGGTACCTCACGCCTTCCGAAGTGCTGCGCATGGGCCTCGTGTGCAAGGACATGCGCGCGTCCCTGGCAGACGCGAACGACGCGATCTGGCGGTGCTTTCTGACGCGGTATGGCGCCCGCATGGCCGACACGCGCCACGACGCCTTCTGTTCGCCGTACCGCGACATCATAGCGCACCCGCTCGTGCTTTTGCTCCGCGCCGACAATCACTTTGCGCTGGACCCGCGCGTGGAGAGCGTCCCGACCGACGTGCTGGCCGCGTTTGCTGCCACGTACGTTGCCCGCTACGTGCACTTTGGCGACTGCATCAGGAGCGTCTACAACGACAGCTACCTGTGCAAGGTCCTTGGCATCACGCTGCGTCACGACGCTGTCGAAGTCCACTTCCACGTGACTGGCGATCGAACTGAAGGCGACCTGCAACACCCGCGCCACGCCACGCTGCACGTCGATGACCACGCGCTCAAGCCCGTGCGCATGTGGCTCATCGACGCAGACCCATCGTCGTCATACGCAGGCATCCTGCGCTACGAGACGCACGTGACGCAAGACAGCGTGCTCCGATTCGAGTATGGCTGGAGTGGCTACTCAGACGCGACGCTCTGCGCATTGACCGACGACTTTTGCTCCGCGCACGCCCTCGACCACGTCGTGCGCGCTAGACCAGGACGCCCTGTGGTATAATGTAATATGATGCATCGTTGTCCAGGCCATTTTGTCCAATTTCGTTTACATGTCTGAGTAGCTGTATGAAATCCTTCCTGCGCGATGCGAGCTTCTTCGGCTCCATGGTTCGAGCCGAGCCGAGCCAGAGGTATTGTATTTGCGCTTGCTGATTGGCCTAATTTACTTGAGTGATTGAAATCAAGTACTGTACAGGTACCTTGCAACCTCTTTAAATTGTAGCAGCACATCCCAGCAACAATTAAACAACAATCCGTCATGCCTTCATCGATCAAAGCGCTGACAACCGTACTTGTGCCTATGGCCGTCGACGGCTACCTCGTGCCTCGCGACGTCCTCGCCTTGGAGCTCGTGTGCAAGGAGCTCCGCGGTGTCTTGATTGATGCGAGCAGTGCGATCTGGCAAAGCTTCACGCAGCGCTACGGTGGTCTTCTGGCGGCCGACTCGCGCTCGGAAGCCTCGTTTGAGCTGGTGGGCTTCGCCCATGTGCATCCATTCAAAGTATTTGCGCTGCGCGACGGCCATGCCTTTGACTTGGACCCGCGACGGGCCGACGCTCCCGTCGACGGCTGGCGACGCGCGTTCCCGCGATCGTACACGACGCGCTACGTCCACTTGGAGTCGGCGCAGTGGAGCGTCTTGAACCAAACGTACCGATGTGCAGTCCTGGGCATTGGTTTTAGCAAGGGAGCGATCGAGCTGCGCTTTCACATAAATGGCAACCACAGCCTCGGTGGGCTGCAAGATCCGTGGTACTCAAAGCTACGCATCGACGACGAGTGCCTCCGACCGACAGACGTGTGGCTCACTGACATCCATAGCAAATGCTCGTACGCAGGCGTCTTGCGCTTCAGCGTCGCCTTGGCGCACGGTCGTGTCATTCAGTTCACTTACGGTTACAGCGGTTACTCGACCGCTTTTGTCTGCAAGCTCACTGAGATCTTTTGTCGCCAACACTCCCTCGAGCATCTCTTGGAGGACTCGTAAAGGTATATACACATGAATTCGTTTCGATCCCTGTCTTGGCAATGAAAACTTTCTGACTCCTTACGCATCCTGCGAGGCACGAGGGGCACGAGGGGTCGGGGTCGTAACCCTAACCCAAGTATTTTTGCATGCCCGATCGAATTTGTTCGAACGAGGTGAAAGGCGAGCGCGACGAGAGGCTTCAATTGCCATCCAGATCTTGGCGGCTATCTTAGTGGCGCACACAGCTTCGTATACGTGTGGCGCTGCTCGGTGGATCGTCTGTCGCCTTCAAATCAACGCGGTCGCCATGAAGGTCCCGTGGCTACCTCGTGCCCCGCGACGTCCTCGGAGCTTGTGTGCAAGGAGCTCCGCAGCGTCTTGGTCGATGCGGGCAGTGCGACCTCACCAAGCCTTGTGCAGCGCTACGGTGGCTCTTCTGGCCGCCGGCTCACACAGGGAGACTCGTCTGCTTCGTAGCTTTCGACGATCGACAAGACGCGGGATGTGCGTACACTCAGCGACGGCCACGACTTTCTTTTGGACCCGCGTCTCCAAAGCGCCGATGTCGAGCCCGATGGCTTCAAGTGCCTATGAACGTACGCTACGTCCTCTGGACTCCGCGCGGTGGAGTATCTTGAACGGCTGCAAGCTCCTGGGCGTCGCATTTGCCTCGACGTACACGTTCATGTGACGCTCCCTCGGTGGGCTCCGGGGACCATGAGGGCCACAGCTTTGCATCGGCGCCAAAGTACTCCTTCCTCGCTTGGCTCACCATGAACCGATCTGACGACGCAGGCGTGTTGCGCTACTGAGTATGAAGTCGATTTGATGCCAAGTTGTCGACTAGTGCGGACGGCCAAGTTACGCGCTCCAAGCTCACACCTGCATTTGGTCATGCCATCTGCACGTCCTATCGCACATGCAGTCGCTTTCTACTTTATGGCATCAGTCGATATCTTGACGATCCAAACAATGCATACGTGTAAACAGATTCTGGCTTAACGAAGGACTAGTCGCGTGGTTTACTTCTTCCCGAGCGTCGGCATGACGGTGCCGTACTGCGTCTTCTTGCCAAACTCCCACTGCGCCGTGATCGTCTTGGTCTGCGTGTAAAACATCACGCCCTGCTTGCCGTAGAAGTGCAAGTCGCCGCGGATCGACGAGCGCGAGCCCGTGAACGAGAAGAAGGGGAGTGGCACGGGGATCGGCACGTTGATGCCGACTTGGCCAACGTCGATCTCGTGCTGGAACTTGCGCGCCGCGGGGCCCGACTGCGTAAAGATCGACGTGCCGTTGCCGTACGGGTTGGCGTTGATGAGCTCGATGGCGTCGTCGAGCGTCTCGACCGAGTTGCACACGAGGACGGGGCCGAAAAGCTCCTCGACGTACGACGGGTTGGAGATGTCGACGTTGTTGAGCAGCGTCGGGCCGACAAAGTTACCGTTCGGGTACTTGGGCACCTTGACGTTGCGGCCATCCAAGAGGA